GATATGGATGGAAGATACGACATTGATGGAATAGTGGCTGAAGATGTATTCAGGACTGGAGGTAGGGGTCGTCCACAGAAACAATATAAGGTTCATTTTAGTTATCAGGAACCAGAAGACGACCGCTGGTTTACTAGATCTGAACTTCTAGAGACAGCTCCCCACATAGTCCGGGCCTACGAAAGACAGCAGAAGGGTAAAGATCCTGTCTTAAACTGAAATTTTCTCGGAGGACCTCGAATTTAGGCCGGTGGGAGTGAAACGGTATTCACCAGTTCGAAGTAGCTGATGCAGGACCCAAGGTTCGATCCCTAGATCCCCAACTTACCTGTGTACAATATCTGTGACCACTTGAAGAATTGAACCTGCGACCTGTAGAACCGCCAGTGGTAAGTAGGTCTGTCGTAGGTCCTTAGGTAGCCAGGATTTGATCCATAGACTTGTAGAGTAKAAGTCCAGCTGCAGTCCTTCTAGAAGGTTGGCAAGTGGTCAAGTGGAGTGACTAAAGCAAGCCCATGTTGGAGACGAGGACAAGTGGCAAGGGCAAATAGTAGGACCCCAGTGCGACTGCACTGCGTCGTAGGGTTGTCACTATGCAGTCATGGGAAAGTCTAGAAAATACCAGTCCGGTCCAGCAAGTACCACGGGGGGGACTGTGTGCCTCATGGGCCAGGGATGCAAGGCAAACGAATGCAACACAGAAGTATAAATCMAGAGGCTGCGTCCAGCCATTCATTCATTCCTGCGGAAGCTCTGCGGAAGCGCTGCTCGGGCGTCTTGTGCAAGGGAGGTCTGCAGATGGCCTGAAGACGAAGAGGGCAGAAGTTAGTGATAGGCTAGTTAGCTGTAAATGGCCATGTGCCATAGCCATAGATAGTTAGTGAGTGTGTATGTGTGTGTGCAGTGGTTAGCGTGCATGGTATCCAGGGTGATCCGGAGTCGAGTTGCGTGTGAACTCTGAGTCGAACGTGTAAGTGTGGGCGCCCAGCGCCATAGTCAACTGAAGTAAATTCGGATTTGAGTTGAGTTGAGTTGCAAGCTACCATATCTCCGAGTTTGAGCTGGGTGCACAGCGCCAGGCTATTCTCATTTGTTGCATGCATGTTTGAGTGTGGATTTGCAAGACTGATTTCAATACTGTTGAATGTCCGTAATTTCACGTCTCTTTTTCTTTCCCGTAACAAAAGCAAATGCCGCTGTGAGCCTTACGAGGATTCAGTGGCCAAGCATATATATGCTTCCGTGATCGTTTTGTGATTTCAGGAATACATATCTGTAGCCCCTGAAAGCAGGCATAAGGAAGATCATTCGGACATTGATTCTGGTTCATTCATCCATCATCGTATTTGATTGACAAACGTAGTGGGCGGCAGTGATGTTGTGAGGGGTGATAATGATGATGATGATGAGCGGAGAAGGGAGATGCCATTTCTTCCTTCATTCATTCTTCTCCCTCCTTGGTCTAAATCCACTTCTTCTCGAGTTTTTGCAATGTAGGACATTGTCTCAAAGATGCCTTGCTCTTGAATTGCACAGGATCATAGCAAGCGCCAAAAACCTAATTTCTTGACAGACTCGCGAAGTGTCAAAAAGTTGCAGAAACCCTTTCCGTTCAGCGTACCATCAATGGGCATTACCATGATGTGAGAAGAGAGAAGAATTGTGGCGACCTTGGTTCACACGCCCAAAAGCAAAGGTGCCAGAGCACAGATGCTGACGAAGGGAACAGCGAATTGCTAGTCTTCCAACTGTAACTTCTCTCCTCCTCCAAACCCTTGAAACACGGCCGCCTTATGGCCAAACGAAGAATAAGCCACAGCTGGATTAAGCTGCAATGAACACAGTTCAAAATGTGCACAGAAATAGGCCAGGATCGTAACCCACTGCGCAAGTCGAGACTCAGGGGTCAAAAGCCACCTCTCCGGGTCAAATGACGCTGACTGTGCCCCATGCGAGGTATCGTTGACTCCAGGAAAACTCAGATGCTGCGGCTGCCGGTGTGGGAAAGCTCACACAGCAGGCCATGTTTGGAGTCCTGGATTTTGAGTAATGAACTTATTTCTAATGTAAGTGTGTTCCGCTCAAGTGTAAGGGCATACTCACACTAGCCCCTCAAATCCGCAAAACCGCAAAATCAGTGGCCAGATCGACTCCTTTTACAAGGGACTTGATCTGGCCGCTGATTTTGCCATTTTTGCGATTTTGAGGGCCTATGTGAGTATGCCCTAAGATGACTTCCCCCCCCCTCCAGATCTATGGATAGATTGCATGAAAGGTTGTGGATCTTGCAAAATTCTATTGCCTCGGTCCATCTGTGTCACGTTCTGGAGATCAGGTGGGTCCTGCCCGTCAACCCATCACCACAACGAGCTAAAATGTGCCACCAATAGCACAACTCCGTTCTTCCCTAAACCAATCACAGTCGACAAACAAGACACAAGAACAAAGCAAATGGACCATAAGCACACAATTATGTCCCCTCCCTCCACCATTTTACAATTGTGCCACATAGATTCATGTACCGAGCAATAAGCAATTACAGTGCGCCATGTAGATTGATCGACATAATGACCTATCAACAGTGACGCTGCAGCTGCTGGACGAAACTGGCGAAAAGCGCCAGTTTCATTCCTTCGAGTCTGATCAAAAGCTGCCTCGGTGTTACCAGAGTGGTGCAATAATCCAGTTTAAAAAAATGGCTTCGAAATTTGAATCACTGAACACTCACCTGTGCAGAGGACTTCTGAAGTTTGATCTTCCCCGGGTTCTGCTGCTCCTGAGTCTTCACCATTGGCATCACCATCTCCCTAATTCAATCACATTTCCGAGAGTTCGCAATGACATTTAGACCAGAGGAACAAAGAAATCATCAGTCAACTTACCCAAGGGACAGGGCAGACGAAGGACAAGCTTGCAATTGCCCAAGTTGGCTTATTAAAACTTTCTCAGCCAACGTCCCAGAGGCGCTCAGCCAAGGGGCAGCATGACCACAATCGAGTCAGAGAGGATGCACAAAGAAGGCAGGCCTGTAGACACAGCTTCTCTGTGGGTTAGATGTGCGCCAGAGGGGGTCAGAAGCTATTCAGCGGAAAATGAGTGTTGCAGAGGGTGTAAAAATGGGTATCCGAAGAACTGAGAATGCAAAGGGAAGAGAAAGGAGCACAGACTCCACAGAGAGGGGAAGATGGGCAAAGGCAACTAGCGATAATGGACGAGAAACTTCGGAGAAAGTACAAACACTAGTAATAGCATATGCAGACATGTCAGGTTTGTGCATTGCACGCCCACAGGACATGCAGGGAAAAAAAAAAAAAAAAAGAGTTCTCTTTCCCATGCTTTCCTCCACTCCCAACCCCCCTCCTCTGATAAAACCCCCTCACCATCCCCTCAGGGCCCCGTCCTTCCCATGTCTGCGGAATCTGACTGACCTTCGCCCTCACCCCCCACGTCTTCCCATGCCTTCTCCCACGGATCTGAAATGCACATTTCCGTTGTCCTTGTCCACTTTGCCAGGCCTGTCCACGTCCAGCGCCTGCAAGATGCCCACAGATTCCCCGGACAGTTCATATCGCTGATATATCTACATCATACTTGCAACTGCACGCCTTTTGCACATTTGCCTACATGAGGTGCACTGCCGCATGTCAGGGGGAATCTCCACCTGCATGATGGAAAGGAGTTCTGTCAGGCATGGCAATAACTTGGACGCATGGAACACAGAATATGCACACAAGTGGGGAGGTATATCGATCATGCAAGATGGGCGATCAGCATCTCGTATCACATCAGTCACTTCCCACAGTCCTCTATAAGCAGGCAAAAAGGAGAGCCCATGGAGCTCCGCCTGTGTAAGTAGAGGGGTATTGGAGATTATGCAAACAATGCGACAGGGAGCACTTCTGGGGCCGAGACACATGAGAATACGGAAATGACGGAGGCATTCATACGGTGTTACGCTGCTGATTGTATGTGAAAGACAGAGGGGGGATGCAAACTGAGTAGAGGAAGGAAAAGCAAGATGCAAACCATAAATCCTGACATGCAACAAGAAAGACAAAATGAACTTCAGAGGAGTCCTCAAGTGGTCATTGATTTTTGTTGTGTTGCACGCCGTGGAAAGAAAAAGCAAAGAGATGTCCATTGGCAACTGTGAACATTCATTTCCGGTGCCATTAGCGGTCGAGAGCACAAACAATGTAACATTTTAGAGCACGTATGAAACAGAAGCTTCCTTGCAAAGATCTGGATGCTGACGTGCCCTTGGCATACAAAGAGTGGGTGGGGAGAGAGAGAGAGAGAGAGAGAGAGAGAGAGAGAGAGAGAGAGAGAGAGAGAGAGAGAGAGAGAGAGACCCCTTTCACATTATTCAGAAAACCCCTGCGGGTTCTCTGAAAGGACCCTGCCAAGAATTAGCAAGGGTTTCCTCGCCAAGAAAAGGGTTGTCGCCGTTGGACTTATGGTAAGGCTGTAGCAGGCCAACTAGGTGTAGCTTCAGGTCCGTGTTTCACCCGTTATGGGTTTACCAACTTGCTAACTCGGCATGTGATTTTCAGCGCTTCACTCCACTACTCACCAAATGTGCAAAACTAGAGTGAATCTTCTGCTAGAAACTGGAACCATACGCCGCCACATGCTTTGTCTTTTGTGCAAATGGCGACTGGTGGAGCGAGGCCCTTAGGGCTACTGCACGTAAAAAAAGGAACATCTCTCTCTCTCTCTCTCTCTCTCTCTTTGTGTGACACAAACACAAATCAACAAAGGCATATGCTGGTCCTCTGGACTGAACCCTCGCTATTGTCGAGTGAGATAACAAAAATTGCCACGCAAGTAGCGTGGGGCAAGTCCGCAATCACCAGCGCGAGCTGAAAAAGCCAGAGCTCACAATCTCAAGATTGGCGAGCAAATCTCCATGGGGAAGAGCAGGTGCCAATGGATATTGCGACAGCATGTCAAAAGATGGGGAGTCGGGAGGAGGTGGAGGAAGGATAAGATTGCGGTTTAGTTCTTTCTTTATGGCACAATCCATGTGCTTCTAGGAGGATTGCGATCTCCAAATCGGGGACAGGGGAAGACTGTAGGAGGAGCTGGGCCATGTCATGGTCAACGTGAGGAGCATGGACCCCGTGCAACGATGACACAACGAAATCGAGAAATGGTCCATGTCGTGGAGTCTTCTCCTTCACATAGAGCTGTTCACCACTCCTTTAACGGATAAAAAAGATTGGACTTTAGGCAACTCCCAGCAATCTCGAGCATCACACTGCTCAGTGCTCATGCTTCCCACACCCTCTCTCTCTCTCTCTCTCTCTCTCTCTCTCTCTGT